AGCAGGCCTAGAAAACAACCAGTTCAGAGTGGAATAGGAGTATGGAGGTCTGCAGGAAAAAGCAATAACTGATCTATTTGAGCATGTGGAAAATATTATTCATGGGCATGTGGAAGGAATGTTGGAGCATATGGGAACAATTAACAATAGGAACACAGTGAGCTAGGCAAATGAAGAAATGAGGTAATTATTAATGCCATGAAAATGAAGAGTTGTGTAAGAAAGAATGGATGATTATAGCTTCTCTTTTCCTCAGGATTGAACAGTATTTTCATGGTCATAATAATGAAATAGTGACAACTGTTTTAACCAAAATGTGATATTGTGTTGGCAGGCGATGTAGCAGCTGGAGAGGGATTAGGAGGTAGTGGGAGAGCTATGTCCTCGTATGCTACCTCAGGAAGTTAACATATCATGTCAGAAATTGATAAATCAAGAAATAGCAGCAGAAAGTATCATGTAGCAAATAAGAGAAACAATTAAAAGCTGAAGGTGATTGCCTCTGAGGAAAGACCTAGGGTAACAGCAGAGAAGGGGACTGCTGTTTTGTAATTAAAAACATTTAATAGCGTTTGGTTATTACTTTGATAAAGAAGATTTAAATTGTCATTTTATAACCAAAACAAGAATGTTCATGGTAAAAAGAAAAACAATTTACAAGTGGCTTTTTAGTTTCTTTTAGGATTGGTCAAAAGTTATTCAATACACACCTACTGAAATGTTTAAAATTAAAAGGCTGATAACTCCAAATGCTGATAAGGATGTAAAGCAACCAAAAACTCATACAATCATGGTGGGAATGCAAAAATGGTACAATTGTTTCGGAAAATAGTCTAACAGTTTTTATAAACCTAAACATGACTCAGTAATTCTTCTCCCAGGTATTTACTCAAGAGAAATAAAAATATATGTTCACAAAAAGACTTGCATAAGAATGTTCATGGCAGGTTTATTCATAATAGCCCCAAACAGGAAATAGCCCCAGGTATTTATCATAGAAGAGTAGATAAACAAACTGGTATTTTCATGTAATTGAATATTAGTGTTATAAACTGAATTGTGCCCCCACCCCAAATTCATATGTTGAAGTCCTAACCCCCTATGTGACTGTATTTATAGACAGGACCTTCAAAGAGGTAATTATGATTAGATGAGGTCATAAGGGTGGGGTTCTGATCCTACAGGACTGGTGTCCTTATATAAGGAGGAAGAGACACCAGGGATGTGCACACACAGAGGAAAGACCTTTCTCCAAGCCAAGGAGACAGGCCTCAGGAGAAACCTTGGACTTTACGCCTCCAGTGAAGAGGCTCACATGGTGAGGGACTGAGGCCTGCCAACAAGGAAGTTGAACTCCCTAACCCCAGCCCACAACTTGACTGGCACCCAATGAGAGTTGTAGAGACAGAGACAGAACTAAGCCATACCTGTGAGATAACAGCGACTATGAGGTAAAGAATTTTGTTTTAAGCTACTAACTTTTGGGGCAATTTGTTTTAAGACAACAGATTAATATAAACAGGAAGAGAATTGAGACACCAGCATGGAAAGGAAGAAAGCAAATCAGAGAGTGGATAGGACATATTCCTCTTATCTCTTAAAACTGTGGAGAGAAATCTTGAAGATAAAGAGTGAGAGATGTATGAAATGATCAATGTTCAAATAAGGAAAGAGTAAGAAAATATAACAGTAGAGAAAGGTGAGTAAGGAGGGAAAGGGATAAGTACTCTTGCTGAAGTTTCCTTTAAGATCTAAGGAGATAGCCAAAGGCTAGTTTAACAAAAAAAGCAGCACAGTGTGGTCTCTTGAAGGGGAGGATGGGTTATGGAACCACTGAAAGGCTGCTGACATCATGAAGGCATCAATGAAAAGTCATGAAATCCCTCATAACGGATTATATTCCTTCAGGGACCATGACAACAAAGTCACCAGGGCTGGCTCTGAAATGACTGATGTTGAGGAGGGAAGAGGGTGATGCAATCTCTAGGAGTAGGGGAATTCATGATTTACTTTGGAAGCAATATCTGGAAAAAAAAGAACTGTTGGCAAATCTTTATACTCACATTATTAAGGAGGCCAAGGATGATTATTTAGATGTGAAATGGTTGCTAGAAATGATGTAGCTGCATGGGTAAAAAACTTTTATAAAGTTATAAATCTGCTGCTTGAAATACTGGCCAAATGGGAGGTGTGGACTCAGTAATGGAAATGTGAGGCCAGCTATGGCACAGGAAAGAACTCTAACTTGACAGATACTCTCACCTGGTGAAATTAAAGCCTAAACGTATATTACAGCTGGCAGCATAATGCCAGGCAGTTCCTATGCGAGCAAAAAACAAAACAAAAAACAAAGAACAGCAAAGTGATTAAAATAATTTTTAAAAAATTAAAAATTCAAAGATAGCATAAAATATCTTTTTTTTTTTTGATCCAGGGAAAAAATGTAATTACTATTAAAAAGCAAATATCCAGTCATATCAACTAAATGAGTCAAATTCCTAGCAGTAAACACAAAGGAAACCCTGGCCCCCAAGGCGCTTATGAAATAGTTGGAGACCATGCTCTATGTGTGTAAATAACTAGAACAGTCAGGAAAGGACAGTCTGCCTGATAAGAAGGTTGTTCTTGGGGTGGTGAGATGAGGTCCAGAAGGAGAGGAGCAGCTGGAGAGAGAATGGGGAAGACACGGAGGAGCCAGGGGGACTGTGTGGGCAGCCAGGGAGGAAGATAAGAGACCCCGGCTCTGACTGTCAAGGTGGGGAAACCTTTCAAAGAGAAGGGCAGAGGTGGTACACTGGGTCACCAGGGTCCAAGAGACCTTTGCAGGCAGCAGCGTCAGAGAGCCGATGGCTCACAAGCTGGGACACAAAGGGTTGAGATG